TGCAAGATATGTAAACATTATTAAAGTGACTAGTGTTCCATTTCTTAAAGTGGCCAGTGATTTCAATAGGCAGCAGCAGCCTCTAATGTGCTTGTGATGGCCTAGTTGGGACAAAGTCAAGTGCCTCCTTAAAGCTGAGATCTGCAATAGGCGAAACTGGCCAGTGGCACTGTTGTTTTTGTTTTGAGGAAATGAGCATCCAGCATCATTAAAAAAAACATTGTTGTTTGAAGTAATGTCTTTGTTGTTGTAATATTGCAAAATGGACGTGGCAGTTTCACCACTGTGGATTCCAGCTTTAAGTGTGAGATAAAATTATCAGTCTAGTCCAGGGGTAGGCAGACACTTCATGTTTTTGATTTAACCAACCTGGAAGACCAGGTGTGTTGAATTTAGTCAATCACCAAACTGATCAATGAGTTCAGTTGGTCTGGTGTGGTGCCTAGTTGGGACAAAGTCCTGCAGTACCTGCGGCATCCCAGGAACCGGGTTGCCTACCCCTGATCTAGTCCATATCAATTTACCCTCATTGCAGGTGTGTGTGTGAAAATAACAATTAGAATCAAAGTGTGATACATAATCTTATGTTTTGAAGAATGTTACAAATGCAGGTACATGAATCGCATCTCTGCATGTCTGGCAGACATATCAGTGTGGATGTCGGATCACCACCTCAAGCTGAACCTCAGCAAGACGGAGCTGCTCTTCCTCCCGGGGAAGGACTGCCCGCTCCATGATCTCGCCATCACGGTTGACAACTCCCTTGTGTCCTCCTCCCAGAGTGCAAAGAACCTTGGCGTGACCCTGGACAACACCCTGTCGTTCTCCGCTAACATCAAAGCGGTGACCCGATCCTGCAGGTTCATGCTCTACAACATTCGCAGAGTACGACCCTACCTTACACAGAAAGCGGCACAGGTCCTAATCCAGGCACTTGTCATCTCCCGTCTGGATTACTGCAACTCGCTGTTGGCTGGGCTCCCTGCCTGTGCCATTAAACCCCTACAACTTATCCAGAACGCCGCAGCCCGTCTGGTGTTCGACCTTCCCAAGTTCTCTCATGTCACCCCGCTCCACCGCACACTCAACTGGCTTCCAGTTGAGGCTCGCATCTACTACAAGACCATGGTGCTTGCCTACGGAGCTGTGAGGGGAACGGCATCTCCTTACCTTCAGGCTCTGATCAGACCCTACACCCAAACGAGGGCACTACGTTCATCCACCTCTGGCCTGCTAGCTCTCCTACCTCTACGAAAGCACAGTTCCTGCTCAGCCCAGTCAAAGCTATTTGCTGCTCTGGCACCCCAATGGTGGAACAAGCTCCCCCACGACGCCAGGACAGCGGAGTCATTGACCACCTTCCGGAGACACTTGAAACCCTACCTCTTTAAGGAATACCTGGAATAGTATAAAGTAATCCTTATACCCCCCCCCCCCTCCCTCATAAAAAATGGGTTGTCCCACTGGCTATCATAAGTTCAATGCACCAATTTGTAAGTCGCTCTGGATAATAGCGTCTGCTAAATTATGTAAATGTATTCTGAAGGTTGGGTTGTGTTTTCTTGACATGAACAGTATATGCACATGTGTTTGGCTTTGTGAGTGTTGGGTCATGGTCATAAATGTTTATCTTTCTGTGTGGTGTAATACTAGCAGACACACAGGGCTGGAGTTACACTCATGGCCAGCACTCGCCACCTTTGAACTCTGCCTTGTGACCAGCACTGCCTACCAATGACCTCCGGTGTACAATTCCTCAGGCTGTCCTTCTATTAGTGTATGGCCACACAGATTTTACTTGTCTGAAATGTACAGATTGAGACAATTTTTCAATGGAAGTCATCCGTTAGTGGATGATGGACAACCCAGATGATTATCTGTCAAAAATAACACAAGATGTCCGGAAAACAGTTGAGATGTGTACAACTTTGGACTGACAAAAATGCATTTGCGTTTTAATGTCTTTGAGGCCTTAGCTTGTTTCCAACAAGAGCGTAAGGCTATCAGAAAGCTGTTGTATGTAAAACGAATATTTGTGACTAAAAATGAATTCTATATTTAAATTGTTATATTAGCCTGAAGTGCTCTCTTGTATCTAACCCTCAAATAAACAGGAAGTTTGACTATAACAGAAGTGTAGAATGTGTGGCTGGATGAAGTGGATGGACAGTGCCCTCATGTGGTCAGTTGGTCATCATAGCCTGCTGTTCTACTGAACATACTTGGTTCTACACCAGACATCACAACAGGGCATTGCCACTGGATCAAACAGCAGAGGCTACCTGGAGTAAGGGTTAAACGGGGTAGCCACCATTTGCAATGACACACACACAGAGCGAGAGAGAACAAACAGACAGAGGCAAATACTAATTCATTTCCAGGCTATCCTACTCTTTATTTAATGCAAATGACAGTACCAGGGAACTATTCCTCAGGGCACGCAGGGGAAGTATTTACAGGGGTGCACATTTAGCATACCATCACAGAATAAAAACAAACATTTCAAAATGAAATAAAAATGTCAGTCACAGAGGCATTCAAGTAGTAGTAGTATTGTTATACAGGTTTTTTTGTTGTCTTTTCTTATTTTTTCTTTAAACCCAGATAGCATATTCTTCTGCCACGAGAGTGTGCGCGATGCCATAGTCGTTATATTATAGTTCACTACCCTTGCTTGTCATTTTTTTGGGTAACTGAAACGGTTTTGGTGTGATTTGACATGGTTCACTCTGGTTGAACTGGCGTTGGGGGAGAGTGGTCACAGGCCTGGTGATGGGATAGATAGCAAAACGTCGATGAACGCAAATATTACAGCAAGCGGGAAGGGTGTGAGGCATGACAAACCCCTTGGGTGATACTGAATATCCCTCAGACCACGGAGGGAGGGAGGGAGGTAAAGAGAAGGGGTGTAGAGAATGAGACAGAGAGAGACAATGTACTGCATTTCCTCTGAGAATGGCTTGTCACAACATCAATATCATCAATTGGCTTAATGGCTTTGATACCAGAAGCAACATTGACTGAATACATACTGTACTCTAATGTATATGACACTGTTGACCTAAAAGGCCATCCTCATACTTAAACCCTGGATACAGCGCGCGTGTGTAAAATCTTTGTGCATCCTAGTGAAATCATAAAAAACATTGATTGAAATCAAGCACAACCTTTACTTCAAATCAGGTCAATAATCTCGAACAATATATGTATGTTTTAAAAACAGATGTCATAACCTTTACATGGGGAAAAAAAGTGGATGAAGATGACGTGTTGACACCAAGGAGAATGTGTACATACAGAGAAAGAAAAAGGCTAACGTTGATCTAACATTGGTACAACTCTGGACTGAAACGGAGATCTGAGAGGGGGGCAGCAAGTCATTCAACAGCATCTAAGAGGGATGCAAGGTTATGTTGTGGAAAGGGGTAGGAGGTGAGGGGGCAAGGCGAAGGCACTCCAAACTATAGATACACTATACATGACTAGTTATTGTTACAATAATACACTTGTTATCTACTGTACAAGTAAAGGTTGAACTATATGGCTGGATAAAGCATCATCATCATCATCCAACATATTGCCCTGATTATTTCTTATTTTCATTTCATTTATTTTCTCCCCTCATATCTTTGTCTTTGCTCATAAACAGTACATGGGTCTGCATATATACACATACCACGATCACAACATAAAAAACAACATACACAAGTCAGGATTTGCTGAGGAGCATATGAACTGTATATATACACATTCTGTAGTTGTGTTGTCATATTGAACCTGTGTGAATATGTCTGGGTAAGTAAGACGCTGGACTCTGAGAGCCTGTACCAGAGAGGCGGTTGTGTGGTCCAGGTGGAGAGAGATACAGAGAAAGAGAAGAACGCTAGACTAACGTTAAATTAATGTTGGACCAACATTAGATGAACATTTGACAAACACTGAGTCAGTGGTCGCAATAAGAGAGAGCCAGGAGTGACAGAGGCCTAGATTCCTGGCAGAGGCCTAGATAAGAACACTTCTTGCAATCTAGACAGAAACCATGTCTGAATTCCAAATCAAGTGCCTAGGGGGTAGAAGCTAGCGATTGATTTGGAATTTGGCACGAGTTCAAGAAAAAGTATGCATGACTTTGAAATGTCTTCATCTAAAGACAGAAAGCAGGTGTGGGGGAGACATCCCCTAGAAACTGACAGCACTACTACACAGTGACATGATCAATGGAGAGAGAGTTAAGGAATAAAACAATATGTAGTCCTGTCTACAGCCTTAACATACAAATAATGACACACAGGGAAATAGGGAAGTTACTGCTGAAAAAAAAGCTTTTCCAGCAAAAGAGATCACATCACCTTGCCTCTTCATATGTCTTTAGGCAGCAGCAAATATTGCCCCTGCTCTGTGAGCCAACAACTAACCGTTATGGATTCTGAACCATTGAAGTTTCATATACATATATCTATATATATATTTTGTACATAATGCAACGTAATATATAAACTGTGTATGTATATATATATATAAATAATACAAGCACACAGAACCAGAGACATGTCACATATATCTCACATGTCAATCTAAATGATCCCGCCCACCCCGAGCCCAGGGAATATAAAACAAAAATAAAAACAGAATAGAACTGTTTGCTAACCGTTTAAAAACAACCCCGAGCAAACCTCTGACATCATCAAAAACCTCCCTTCTGATTGGACTATCTGTGTCCACATATATCAGGACCTTCATGCATGGGATGTTTGTAAGAATGTTAAGTGTGTGTGTGTGCCTTATGCCTAATTAGCAGAAGTGTGGAGGTCAATGCATGGGTAAAAGGTGAAAGGTCACTCTAGGCACTCCTAACCTTACTCAGGCCATGCACTACAGGAGGAGGAGCCAGGGTAGCCATCCCAACCAGGGGGTCAGAGGTAAGGGGTCAGAGGGGAAGTGATGAGGGGTGGGGTGTGGAGAGGGCATGAGGAAGGGACTGATCCCTCGTGAATGTGTGTGTAGGAGGGGGGGGGGGGCTTCATTGTGGACAGAGAAGAGGAGGTGGTTGTGGGGTCAGCTAATTACTTTGATACATAGAATTGTCCTCATGGAAACATTAGCAGGCTAGAATTGTGTATATAGGGCACGTTTATATATGAATACTCTTATATTTCATCAGCCTCCCCCTGCCCCCCACCACTCCTTCCTTCTAACAGACAATAAAGACATCCTCAGTGGAGTAGGTTGCAGAAATCAAACACCTAGATGGGTGACTTGGAGTTGTTGTTGTAGTTGTCATCCGTTTTAAACCCTGCCATGTCATCATGCCTCCACTGGCATCACCCCTGGCTGGGGCGATGGGGAAGGTGGTGGTTGGGGGGTTCAGAGAGGGGGGTTCAGGAGGTGGAGTTGGAGGCCGAGGCCGAGGCAGTAATGGTGGGGCTGCGATCTGTGCTGTTACCATCTGGAGAAGAGAACAGGAGAAGAGAGACATTGTTCACTAATTTACACATCCATTCATATGTTTATCAATGAGTAAACAGGTGTTTTAATAAGACATTTTCCTGAGAGAGAGCGAGAGAGACAAGAGAGAGAGAAAATAAACGGAAGATGGAGAGGGATGGAGGAATGATGACGTGTGGGTCTGACCTGTGGAGGCAGAGGCGTTGGTTGGAGTGGAGGTGGCGGCCTGAGTGCGGTAGTGGGCAGGGATTAGGATGTTGGCCAGCGAGGGATTACTGGACAGCTCTGTGAGAGAGACAGGATACACCAGATTACAGCAGATTACACACACCACAGGTAAACACATCAAAACACACCTCAAGCACAGGTGACACACACAGATTACAGCAAGTAGCTTTAATACAGAGACTGACAGAGAGAGACCACATCATTATGCATAAAGGAGAAGTAACTATGTCTTTCAGTCAATTCAAACACTAAAACAAGTCTCTCTGTACTACCGATGAAACTGGGATGAAAGAGGCAAAAAGACAGACTGACAGACAGACAGACAGAGTGCAGTACCCTGGGTGGTGAAGTTGAAGAGGGAGGGTTTTTCCCGACCGTTGGGCAGCTTGACATTGGGGTCCCTCAGCTCGTCGAAGAAGGAGTGTGCACACGCCTCCAGGGGGGTGAAGCGCGAGGTGGGCGTGTACTCCAGCAGCCGAGAGCACAGGGCAATGGCCTCCGGGGGCGTACGTGGCCGGAATACCTAGCAACCAATCACACGCAAGGACAAGAGTCAAGGAGCCAATCACAAAGACAAGACTGGAATCAGTTAACCAATCAATTTAAAACTAGTATCATGCACACAAAGATGTATGTTGTCATGATAGCAGGTGTGAGAGGGGTGTAAAGCCTATGGATTTCGGTTATTCATTTATCAGTGTCTGCTTATTGATATGAAATGGAAAGATAATGTAATTACTACTTCCTATGTTACATATATTACCTAACTTAACTGACTGAGGTCATCAGAAAGGTGAGGGTGGTACACATAAATATAGTATAAACTTAACTATTGGGGTTATTATGCTTGGATAAATTATATAAAAATAGTTTGTCCAAAAATTGTCCTTTGTATTTGTCCAGTTCAAGTGTAAAGGGCCCAGCCCTTCAGCAGCAGGGTAGGAGACTCTAGATCAGCACAGAGACTGGGTGGCTAGGGGGAATACAGTACTAGAGAACAACCACAAAGTGAAGTCTGGGGAGCCGCCACGAGGACCTGCTCTACAACACTGCCTGCTTATTATAGAAAAAAGGGGTTATCCAATGCTGGAGCAGTGGGCAGGGCCTTGGGCCCTGTTCAAATAATGTGACAATGTCCACTTTCCTATCTCCCTTCCTTGAGGTTATCACTGACATGACCAGGGCCCGTTTTCCCGATAGCAATGGAACTTAGGCCTACGAGTATTTTAATGATCCATCTTTCCTACAACGGACAAAGATGTAACATGCGTTTCCCAAAACACCACGCAGAGAGAACGGTCGCTAAGTGCATTGCTGGAGCATGTGTCGATACTGTAGGATCGAAAGAAAGGGAGCGCTGCTCTCGGATCAGCTTTCTCCATTCAAATCATTCCTTAACATTATAATTATTTCACAATACTGACGACAATTCAGTCCCTAGAGAGATATTACCACCTACGGCTGCAAATTGAAGACAGCTTATTCTAATGCTAACCCAATAAAAATGCACCAAATCGGCACATCATTGCGCACCTTAGGCTACATATCATGAAATATATTAAGACAAATTACAGACAGTAGCTTACAAGTAGCAATCAATTGATTGAGCATTAAATGTACTGTATTTCAATATGATTGAAATAGGCCTATAGCCTACTGTTTATATTTTAATGCAGTCATCTCAGTTTTAATTTCTTTTTATACAGTTGAAGTCGGAAGTTTACATACACCTTAGCCAAATACATTAAAACTCAGTTTTTCACAATTCCTGACATTTAATCCTAGTAAAAATGCCCCGTCTTAGGTCAGTTAGGATCACCACTTTATTTTAAGAATGTGAAATGTCAGAATAATAGTAGAGAGAATGATCTATTTCAGCTTTTATTTCTTTCATCACATTCCCAGTGGGTCAGAAGTTTACATACACTCAATTAGTATTTGGTAGCATTGCCTTTAAATTGTTTAACTTGGGTCAAACGTTTCGGGTAGCCTTCCACAAGCTTCCCACAATAAATTGGGTGAATTTTGGCCCATTCCTCCTGACAGAGCTGGTGTAACTGAGTCAGGTTTGTAGGCCTCCTTGCTGGCACACACTTTTTCAGTTCTGCCCACACATTTTCTATAGGATTGAGGTCAGGGCTTTGTGATGGCCACTCCAATACCTTGACTTTGTTGTCCTTAAGCCATGTTGCCACAACTTTGGAAGTATGCTTGGGGTCATTGTCCATTTGGAAGACCCATTTGCGACCAAGCTTTAACTTCCTGACTGATGTCTTGAGATGTTGCTTCAAAGTATCCACATAATTTTCCTTCCTCATGATGCCATCTATTTTGTGAAGTGCACCAGTCCCTCCTGCAGCAAAGCACCCCCACAGCAGTATGAAAAAAAAAAAAGATGTATGCACTAACTGTAAGTCACTCTGGATAAGAGCGTCTGCTAAATGATGATTCTTATGGCGATTTTGGAGAAGTGGCTTCATCCTTGCTGAGCAGCCTTTCAGGTTATGTTGATATAGGACTCGTTTTACTGTGGATATAGATACTTTGTACCTGTTTCCTCCAGCATCTTCACAAGGTCCTTTGCTGTTGTTCTGGGATTGATTTGCAGTATGTTCATCTCTAGGAGACAGAACGCGTCTCCTTCCTGAGCGGTATGATGGCTGCGTGGTCCCATGGTGTTTATACTTGCGTACTATTGTTTGTACAGATGAACGTGGTACCTTCAGGCGTTTGGAAATTGCTCCCAAGGATGAACCAGACTTGTGGAGGTCTTATTTCTTTTGATTTTCCCATGATGTCAAGCAAAGAGGCACTGAGTTTGAAGGTAGGCCTTGAAATACATCCACAGGTACACCTCCAATTGACTCAAATGATGTCAATTATTTTCTGGAATTTTCCAAGCTGTTTGAAGGCACAGTCAACTTCTGATCCACTGGAATTGTGATACAGTGAATTATAAGTGAAATAATCTGTCTGTAAACAATTGTTGGAAAAATTACTTGTGTCATGCACAAAGTAGATGTCCTTACCGACTTGCCAAAACTATAGTTTGTTAACAAGAAATGTGTGGAGTGGTTGAAAAACGTGTTTTAATGACTCCAACCTAAGTGTATGTAAACTTCCGACTTCAACTGTACGTTGCTTGTTTGTATCAATTGCAAAGACATTGGACAACTTCGTACTTGTAATCAACTTTGTTCTGAAGTTATCGGCGGTCATAGAGAGACGATAAACCATGTGATTCTACATTTAGTGAAGATCTTCTGTATATAAAGTGACATGGGAGGGGGAAAAAAGCATCTAACAACGCACTTAGCTGTTCTACGAGTGGTCTGAGGCAGGCGTTAGATTACGAGCGTTTTCAAGAGCAATGTTAATAACGATGGTTTTGGGAAACGGCTCTGAGATTTAACCATGATTCTACGAAGGTTCTAACGATGAAATTAGCCTTAAGATGCTTTTGGGAAACCAGGCCCTGATGACTTCTTCATGTGCCCTTGCAGATTAGAAAGAACCTGATGGCTGTAAGCAATATGGTAGAAACCCCAGCTAGCCTACCAGTAGGCTAGTGGGGCTAGATGGAGCTGTTACCATATTGCTTACACCTATCAAATCCTTACAGATCTAGGTGGGGCCCATCATGAAGTTCCTTGGTGAAAGGGGCTAGGTGTTGATTTTCATAATTGGGCGATACAGATCAAATGGGATGGCAGAGATGAATGCCTGGCAGGCTGGCGAGGTGAGCACAGAAAGATGATACTAGGGGAGGGGTGGATTGTGGAGTAGTAAAAGAGTTCCTGTACCTGTTGACTCACCTTTGTCCATGCGTGTGCCTTAATCTGGGGGAACTTGAACTCAGTGTAGTTGGGGTTCATCTCTCGGATCTGCTCTCGTGTAGGGGTCCCCAGAACCTACAGCACAGAGACAGGAGAGGAAAAGAGGGTGAGGGGGAGACGGGAGGAAGAGACAAGGGAGGGAGAGAAGATGACAGACAGAGGATAGAGCATGAGCCGTGAAGAGAGGAACAATTGAGAACAACCAAGAGAGAGAGAGAGGGAGGGAGAGAGACAACTTTCATCTGATGAAATAGAGAGAATTGGGTGGCAGACACTAGAACTGACAGGCAGGTATCAGTACCTTGATGATCTCCACCAGCTGATCCACTCCACTGTCGCCGGGGAAGATTGGTTGCCCTAGCAACAGCTCTGCTAGCACACAACCAGCTGACCACACATCTGTAGAGGGGGCGGAGCAAAAACAGGAAGATGTCGTGATTAGTATACCTGCTCTAGAGGTGTAATTTGACTTTAAACAGGGTTAACATTTAGCAGTTAGCCTATCCATGCTAGGGTGTATATGAATTTAAATGGGGGTTTAGCAGTTAGCTGTTAGCCTACCTATGCTGGAGGTGTAGTCGGTGGCACCAAATATAAGCTCGGGGGCTCTGTAGTAGCGAGAGCAGATGTAGGACACGTTGGGCTCTCCGCGTACCAGTTGCTTAGCACTGGAGACACAACATCAGCACAACACACTGTCAGTCACACACAATTCATCATCGTCATCACCATAGTCATCACCATGTTCACCGTCCTCGTCATCATTCACATCATCATCAATATCCTCACCATCTTCACTGTCCTCGTCAATATCATCACCATGTTCACCGTCCTCGTCATCAGTCATATAATCATCAATATCATCACCATGTTCACCGTCCTCGTCATCAGTCATATCATCAATATCATCACCATCTTCACTGTCCTCGAAACAATATCATCACCATGTCCACCGTCCTCGTCATCATTCATATAATCATCAATATCATCACCATGTTCACCGTCCTCGTCATCATTCATATCATCACCATCTTCACCGTCCTCGTCATCAGTCATATCATCATCAATATCATCACCATCTTCACTGTCCTCGTCAATATCATCACCATTTTCACCGTCCTCGTCATCATTCATATCATCATCAATATCATCACCATGTTCACCGTCCTCGTCATCATTCATATCATCACCATGTTCACCGTCCTCGTCATCAGTCATATCATCATCAATATCATCACCATCTTCACTGTCCTCGTCAATATTATCACCATGTTCACCGTCCTCGTCATCATTCATATCATCATCAATATCATCACCATGTTCACCGTCCTCGTCATCATTCATATCATCACCATCTTCACCGTCCTCGTCATATCATCATCAATATCATCACCATCTTCACTGTCCTCGTCAATATTATCACCATGTTCACCGTCCTCGTCATCAGTCATATCATCATCAATATCATCACCATGTTCACCGTCCTCGTCATCATTCATATCATCACCATCTTCACCGTCCTCGTCATCAGTCATATCATCATCAATATCATCACCATGTTCACCGTCCTCTTCATCATTCATATCATCATCCCCATGTTCACGGTCCTCGTCATCATTCATATCATCATCACCATGTTCACCGTCCTCGTCATCAGTCATATCATCATCAATATCATCACCATGTTCACCGTCCTCTTCATCATTCATATCATCATCACCATGTTCACCGTCCTCGTCATCATTCACATCATCATCAATATCATAGTCATTTTCATTTTCATTAACATCATTGTCATCATCATCATCATCATCATCATCATCAAAGCAAAGCAAATGAGAACTGCAGATTCTTTCACATAGTTTAAACTGACCTGCCGAAGTCACAGAGTTTGAGCACGGCCGTCTCGGGGTCCAGCAGCAGGTTCTGGGGTTTGATGTCCCGATGGCAGATCCCAAACGAGTGGATATAGGCCAGACTCCTGAACAACTGGTACATATATAACTACAACACAAACACAGGAGGACATGCATACATTAGAAATGGAGAGCAGAGGATGAGGACACACATGATGGAAACACAATGCACACACACACCTTGACATAGACCATGGGCAGGGTCTGTTTGGCTCGGCTGTAGTGTCTGGCCACTCTGTAGACTGTCTCAGGAACATAGTCCAGTACCAGGTTCAGATACACCTCATCCTTCTGTTACACAGAAAGAGAAAGAGAGAGAGAGGGGGGGGGGGGGGGGGGGGGGTGTTAGGCAACACACACGCACAATGTAACTATTGTTTGACTATCAGTGACACATGACAGACACACAGACAGTCAGACATGAGATGAGATGAGGCCGTTCCTCATCTCTGAGCTCAGACTTGATCCATTATGCCCCTGAAGGTGCCCAAAGAAGGACGGAGCGAAGCGGCAGGTCTATGAGTGTTCCATCTGTTAGCAGAGATAGTCAGCAACTAACCCAAGGAGACAGATTGTAGCGTGAGAAGCTAGCTGGCTGTTCATGTGAGCTAGTGTTATCATGGAGTCTGAAGAGACTGGCAGTCTGACACAATTCTGTCCACTAGAATAGACCCGTCTGGACTGACCCTTTTCTCTTTCTCACGCATAGCATAGATACACACACACACAGTCACACACACACACACACACACACACACACACACACACACACACCGCCCAAGACATGGAATCCAGTCTGACAAGTTTTTTACAGGTTAAGGTGATGGTGCTCACACCTCTTCCACATTGCATGCGTGCCACGGACGTTCTCACCATAAAACCAGGACAGTGAATCATTCTAATATGTTTGGTTTTAATCTAATTTAATGAAAAACAAGCAATCTTTTTTTTTCAACAACAATAAATACATGTAAAATGTAATGATATCATAAAATCGGCAAAATAAAAAAAGACATGAGGCATTGCTGTTGAACCAGCCTTCGTTATAGTAGGCCTGGTGTAAGAGTAGCCTACAGGGGGCTTGGGTTTTAAAAATATGAAACGGAAAACAAACAATTGTTACAGGAAAATAACTTCTAAATACCAGGTTCACCAGTATTCACCAAGGTTCTCATCTCTCATTTCATGATGGGCATGGACAGATGTAACCTACATCATGGAGGAGGGTTTACGCACGTCCAAAGCATGGCTAATATAATGTAGGCCTACCTACAATACATAGATAAAAAGGGGAACATCAGCTCACTGTTTTGATCCTCTCAAACTTGATCTTTTAATACAGCTTTGGTGATTAAGAATTATTTCCAAGCGGTCTCACAAGCCAAACACTTCATCGGTGGTCTTGACTAGCCTACTTGATTAAATTGGGCAGGTCAAAAGAAAAACTGCCTTCATTGAGAGGAGGGGAGGCTATGCTTGGTTTTTTATAAAATAACGCAAAATGGGGAAAAAACATTAGTGTTTTATGAAGTCTACAGGCACCAAAAGCACATATTTTTCCATGCGCATATGGGCAGTGTGCGTCACGGCTGGACAGGCTGCATTTCCACTGTCAAAATTCATGCCATAACCAACTGTGTTACCGCTAAAATCTGCTTTTGGTTGGTCTTAAATATCCCTACCAGTGCTGCCTGAAATTAGCACTTTGGATCATGTTTTTATGGACACTGTTGGGTTCTATTTTTCTCATAATTTGATCTGTATGTGATGAATAGCTTGGAAGAAATGCATTAATGAGGAGCATAGGTTTGAACTGATATGGATTGTTTCACATAGCAGGCTGTGATTCATGTGGGGAACGTTAGGGGCTAGGATGAGATAAGACTTGTATTTCTCACAGATACGAACACTCTCTCTTTGTTGTCTGTGAAACCGTCCTTGAACATGGGTACATGGAGTACAGTGGAATGGTGTCTTTTGGGTGCTGACTCCACAGGTTATAATGATAGCAACTTATGCCTGGCAACACTGTGCAACAAATGGAGTGCCGAGGAGTTGGGACCAACCCCTGCGCCAACGGATTGGCTGAACCACACTCAGTCCTTTGCTCTGGTTGGCCAACAGAAGAGGTGGAGGCTTTCTGTCAGAGTATTTGAGAAAGAACCTGTAAACAATAGTAGTTCTCTGAGTGCCCTGCGTGGTATTTCAGTGGACCCGTATATACGAACCTTCATACTTATCATACATACATTTTGCATATAATAAATTAAGCTTGGATTGAAGATCTCTTGATTCTTATTCCAATACCAGATTTGAATTACGCAATTTCTAACAATTGGTGACCTCCGACTGTGATCTGGTAGCGGAACTTCACTTCGCTGGAATTCATCCAGCCTATTGGACAATCGCTGTCTTCGAACCGTGTGTTTCACAAATTGCCCGGGCTTCTAAAAAGGTAAGCAAAACACCTATTGTAATATAACTAAAGTTTTGCACATTGGCTTTATCCAAATTAATTTTGTGAAACACCTGTTTGATGTAAGTGAACCCTATTGTACTATAAATAATGATTACAGTATACTATTTCGATTTCATAATATACTATGCAAATGTTTGATAAATGTGAGGGTTAAAAGCCATGGTATATTGAGTATTGTTCCACAGAAGAGCGGTTCTGGGAAAATACTGAAATCCCCAGACTAGGTACCACCAGGGGTGGGCTGGGGATATAGGGAATTATTGGATAAAAGTGTGTACGCTATTTGTCATTATATTCCATAAAAAGCTATTGTCATTGTATCAGTCTAGGCTGAATATAATTGGGAACATAGACTAATGAATCTATTGTCATTGTATCAGTCTGGGCTGGATATAATTGGGAACATAGTCTGGATATAGTTAGGATCATAGGACAGCACTCGAGTGTGTACGCTATTTGTCACTATATTCTATAAAAATCTATTGTCATTGTATCGGTCTGGGATGGATATAATTGGGAACATAGTTTGAATATAGTTGGGATCATAGGACAGCACTCCTAAAAACTTAGAAGACAGTATAAATCGCCATTTGTCGTTGTACTTAGGTATTGGCCGGGACAACTGGGAACATGGGTAGATACTGCAAATTAGTAGAGTATAAACTTATTGTCTTTGCACCAATAGGGTGCAAATGGGAACATAAGTGAGATACTGCAAATTAGGAGAGAGTATAAACTTATTGTCTTTGCACCAATAGGGTACAAATGGGAACATAAGTGAGATACTGCAAATTAGGAGAGAGTATAAACTTATTGTCTTTGAACCAATAGGGTACAAATGGGAACATAAGTGAGATACTGCAAATTAGTAGAGAGTATAAACTTATTGTCTTTGCACCAATAGGGTGTAAATGAGAACATAAGAAATAGAGTAGGTTAAACGAAAGGGGTAAGGGCGTGGCAACGTACCTATTGTTGGTACTTTAAAAGTTAGACGGTGCGAGTGTTATCGTATGCATGAGAGTGTGAATGATAAACCTGTATACCTTGATAGAAAACTAATTGGGAATCAAAGACGTCTGTGCCTGTCCAAACGGTATAATTTGGGGATAACTGTTGGGTTTGTGGTTGCTTAAACCATATAACCCGTTAATAACAATTAGGTACATAAAGCTAAAGTGATGAATGACTAGTGTGACTGAACTGAAACGTTTGAGCTGATATGATTGAACTGTGGCGTTTGGTGTTAGACATAGCATAATACTGGTTTTAGGTGCTTGGGTTGAGGCTTTTTTGTTGATTATTTGATGTAGCGTTTGATGTTTGACCCTGCAAAATACTGGTTAAACAATTAAACTGAAATCATTCGGTTTATCGTTGAAATATAAATATGCACCAACTTTAACTAATTAGGTGGGAATGATTTGTTTTAAATAAATAGACTAAAGTACTTTAAATAACGGCAGAATATTTGGAACACTAAAACGAAAAACAGCTCTTCAAAAAGAGCCTGCTCCCACCGAAAGCTGAAGAGAGAGTTGCGAGGGGAGGGGCTGGAGAGAGCGAAAGTGTGGCTTTTGGAGCCAGAAAAGACTGGGAGTTGGCTGGGAACACCACGGGGTGATTATTTGAGAGGTGCAAGTGGGTTTCTGACGAGAGATGTTCTAAACTTGCTCACTCGAACGTAGACGTGCGTCATGGGTGAGAAAGTAGAGAATATTTACATTTGCATTTTTGGTAATTTGGCAGACGCGCTTGTCCAGAGCGATTTACAGGAGCGATTGGGGTTGAGTGCCTTGCTCGAGGGCACATCGGCAGATTTTTCGCCTGGTCGGCTCGGGGATTGGAACCGGCGACCTCTCGGTTGTTGGCGCGGCGCTATTGATCACTAAGCTGCCTGCCGCCCCATATGAGTTTAAGGTTGTGGTGTTGTTTGATCATGTGATAAGGTTTAATTGCTAATCGGACCATAACTAATGTGGTTATGGAAGTAATGTATAGGTAGGGGAGAGCCAATAGGGGGCTCCATTGAACTATTATGGTTTATTTGGCATTTCGGTGGCATGAGGCGAAGTCAAACGGCTGGTGTGGGTGGTGAACCGGATGCTACTGAGTATTTAGTTTGGTAATGTTGAATGGGACTATTTGTAGCGTGTTTTGGGGTTAAATAGAAAAACTAACTTATTCAATAGGGAATGGGTGAAGGGAGAGAGAGTTTTTTGCTGAGGTGAAAGCTACTGCGATTTTCATTTGGTGACGTCACTTGCTCTAGTGAACTGGGATGTATTTACTTTGAGAGCATCGCAGATGGTGTGGAGATGACTGGCGATGTCCCCTGGTTTCGAACACAGGGGGGAAAACCCCCCTACTTGATTGCTCCTTTATCTTCAGGGGCAGATTGTTTTTTAATGGCTCAAAAAATTTAAAATTAAACCCCCCCCGCCTTTTGGTTTATGGATTTTTTTCTCTTTATTTTCTTGGGGTGGGCCTTTTAACTTTGAAAAAAAAAAATTAAGAAAAAATTTTTTTTTTCAACCCCCCTTTTGTGTAAAAAGGGGGAATTTATCTCTTTGGGGTTTTTTTTCCCTTTTGGGGCTTTTTAACCTTTTTTTCTTCTCTTGACTTTCGGGGGGGCAAATAAAACCCCCCTTTCCCTTTTTGCAAAATTTAAATTCTTTTGGGGGGCCCAAGGCCCATTAGGGTTCTTTTAAACTTTTACTCTTTTGATTTTTTTTGTTGGGGTTAATTGTAAAAAATTTTTGTTTGCGACAAGCTTTCGCCCCAAATGGGGCTATTAACCCCCAGGGTTACTATGTGGATTGGGAAAAAAAATGTGAAAGGTTTTTTTTTTAGATAGCTTAAATATAAGTATTCTAGAAAAGTCTATGAAAATATGTTATAAGGTTACCATGCGCTCTCCCCGAAGGAGCAAGGGGAGGGTGAGAGACAGTACAGTTCAGATGGTAGGAACATCATTAAATGTATGCTAATCAACGAT